GGGAATTGGTTCTGAAAAGTTTTATGTCATTTATGGGGCCTTTTTCTTAGCTAATGTTGTCAGCTCTCATGGTGAAAAACACAACAGTTGAATTTCATTATTTTCATAGGAATTAAGGACTAAAATCCCTTCACTATTTTCTAGTCCTCTTTTCCTCCCCCCTAAAGACTACAGCATATTTTAGTTTGCAACCAGGCATGCAAGTTCTTCAGGATACTACTACAAAAATACTCTAGAGTTATCAATGACACTAAAAATCCTATGGTTTTAAGCGGCTGTATGGTGCTTATTGTGTTAGGTATTTATTTGGACATCTCTATTTAAAGTGTCTACTTATTATACTACACTGTAGTTACATATTTTTTTTTGCCCTCAACACAAACTGAAGTTAATCAACTGCTACAGAACAGAATTGTGGCCTACATAATAAAAAAGGACTAAAATCCTTTGGAAAATGAATCACGTTGCTTGTCACCATCACTCATCACCAGGCACAGGTGGGAGGGACCTTAGAGACAAAGGAGTGGAAATGGGTTTCTCCTCAGGGTGGTGGGGAAATCCCCTCCCGACCTATCTCACCTCTCCAGGTGCCCTTCAGCAACAGGTATAAGGCCTTGGAATCAAAGGACCAGGGAAATAAGAATGTCAATGAAGGTCCATTCAAGTTGGAGGGATCACCTAGGGCAGGGCAACCTACTCCCAACATCACAACCTTGTCAATGAAGAAAAAAAGAAGGGTAGTAGTCATTGGTGATTCCCTTCTGAGAGGAGTGGAGGGCACAACATGCCAACTGGACCCAACCTATACAGAGGGGTGTTGCTTCCCTGAGGCCTGGGTAAGGGATATCACCAAGAAACTTACTAGCTTGGTATGGCCCACTGACTATTGCCTGCTACTGCTTTTCCAGGTAGGTACTGATGAAGTCCCAGCACGACTACAGAAAATCAAGAGGGACCTCAGGGCCTTGGGCAACTCATCAAGGAATCTGGAACACAAGCTGTGTTCTCTTCTGTCCTGCCAGTTGCAGGGAATGATGGGGCAAACCCCAAGAAAATCATACAGATAAATACCTGGCTTTGAGACTGGTGTTACCAGCAGAATTTTGGGGGTTTTGATTGTGGGTTAGTTTATAGGACACTGAGCCTACCGGCAACAAAGAGGGTCCACTGGTCTCAAAAGGGAAAAAGGATCTTAACTCAGGAGTTAGCAGGGCTCATTGAGAAGGATTTACACAAGATTTGAAGGGGGATGGGGACATTGGCAGTGTTGATAGAGATAAGGTTTGGGAAAGGGAGATCTATAGTGACCACCCAAGTAGCAGAAAGAGGTTTAAGAGTAGAGGCCTTCAGCAAGTACAAGCAGCCAAAGACATAACCACAAGACAGGACTATAAGGTGTCCCTGTGCACCCCCACTGGGACTGACACAATCAAATACTGCCATAAAGTGTCTGTACACTAACACACACAGTAGGGGGAAAAAATAGGAGCAACTAGAGATCTGTGTGCAGTCACAGGACTTTGACCTCAATGCGATTATGGAGACATGGTGGGACAGATCCCATGACTGGAATGTGGTCATGATGGGCTACGTGCTTTTCAGGGAAGACTAACCAAGAAGGCACAGTGGGGGATTTGCCCTCTGTGTGAGGCAACACTTGGAATGTATTGAGCTCTGTCTTGAGGTAGATGACAAGTATATAGAGAGCTTATGGGTTATGATTAAAGGTCAGACTAAGTAAGGGTGACACTGTTGTGGGTGTTTGCTACAGGCCTCCTGATCAGGAGGAGGAAGTGGATGAGACCTCCTACAGGGAGCTTGAAACAGCCTCAAAATCACAAGAACTGGTTCTTGTGGGGGACTTTAACTACCCTGACATTTGCTGGAGAAGCAACACAGTGAAGCACAAACAGTCCAAGAGATTCCTGGAAAGCACTGATGTCAACTTCCCGCCACAGGTGGTGGAGGTTCTCACAAGGAATGGTGTGCTCCTCAACCTCATACTAAGAAATGGGGAAGAACTTGTTGGATGTAGCCTTGGCTGTAGTGAACATGGGACTGTGGACTTCCGTATCAGCAAGGAGGAAGAAGGGAAGCAAGTAAGATGTAACCATAGACTTCAGGAGAGCTAACTTCAGCCTTTGTAGCGATCTTCCTGGAAGAATCCTATGGGAACAGGCCCTGCAGGGAAGAGGGGTCCAAGAGAAAGGCTGATATTTAAGGATCACTTCCTCCAGGCTCAAGAATGATGCATCCCAGTGAGCGAAGAATGAGGCAGAGGGGGTAAGACACCTGTGTGAATGAATAAAGAACTGCTGTCATTACTCAAGCATAAGCAGCAAACACACAGGAGATGGAAGCAAGGTCAGGCCACTTTGAATGGATACTCCTGGAATGGATATAGAGAGGTTGTCAAAGTAAGTAGAAATGAGACAAGGAAGGCCAAGGCCCACTTGGAATTAAATCTGGCCAAGGATGTCAATGGCAACAAGAATGGCTCCTTCAAATAAGAAAACAAAGGATAATGCAGGCCCACTACTAAGTGGAGGGGGAACTCTGGTAACAAAGGATGCAGAGAAGGCAGAGTTACTGAGTGTCATCTTTGCATTGGTCTTCATTGACAAGACCTGCCCTCAGGAATCTCTCACCCAGGAGACCAGGTTAAAGGAATGTTGGAAACAAGACTTTCCCTTGGTCAAGGAGGTTTGGGTTAGAGAACACCTAGGAAAAACTGACAATGAGGCAGCTTGCAGTCATCTTTGAAAGGTCATGGAGATCAGGAGAGGGGCCTGAGGACTGGAAAAAAGAAAATGTCATTGCAGTCTTAAAAATTAACAAGAAGGAGGTCCCAGGGAACTACTAGCCTGTCAGCTTTCCATCAAACCCAAGAAAGGTGATGAAGCACCTCATTCTGGAGGCCATCCCTATCCACATGACTGAGAAAAAGATGATCAGGAGTAGACAGCATGGATTCTCTAAAGGGAAATTGTGCTTGACCAACATGATTGCCTTCTATGAGGAAACACCTACCTGGATGGATGAGGGTATTGTCTACCTCTTCAGCAAGGCTTTTGACACTGTCTCTCACAACATCCTCACAGGCAAACTCAGGAAGTGTGGACTGGGTGAGTGGACAACGAGGCGGATTGAGAACTGGATGAATGGCAGATTCCAGAGGGTTGTAAACAGGGTCCAGTTGGAGGCCTGTCACTAGTGATGTCCTAATGACTTAGATGAAGGGGCAGATGCTTCCTTAATGAGTTCACTGATGACACAAAGCTGGGAGAAGTGTCCAATACCCCAGAGTGCTGTGCAGCCCTTCAGAGGAACCTTGAGAGATTGGAGAGATGGGTAGAGAAGAACCAAGAAGAATCCAACAAAAGCAAATGTGGAGTCCTGCACCCCATAAACACAACATCCTATGACCTGCAGAGCATGTGTGTGCCTTGATGGCAAAACTCATTCTTACCTAGAAGTTAGCTGATATTCTGCAAAACATGTAGAAACACTCTTTTACAAAATAAACTGCTCTTGATATGTTTACTCACTAACACTTGATTCTTGATAACATGTATTATTACAATATATGCTTTCCTATTCTCTCTCATTTTTAAGGACGAATTACTTAATAAAATAAGGAAACTAAACATGTTTTGAAAGACCAAAGTTCATATTCTTCTCACTTGTGAAAGACACGCAAAAAAAATGTACATTTAATAAGAACTAGTCTGTACACGAAGTCTCCAAGTAGGACATCACTTTTAAAAGGTCATGTCATTGAAAATAAAATGAAAAGAAAAAGTAAAATTTAATAAGAAAGGAAAGAAAGGAAGGAAAAGGAACTCAAAAGGTTAATAATCTATCTTTTAAACAAAAAAGGCAATCTACTTTTTCTCATTAAAACCTGACACACAGCACTAACTGAAGAGATTATGTTGTGAAAACATACTGCATCGCATGGTAATGCTTGATCGAGATCAGCAATCAGGAGCAAAAAGAAAGCACTGTTTCGTGATTATAATAGCAAATTCTGGAAGACAACCAAATACATCATCTGGCAGCTCAACAGCTGTTACAGCTTGGTAGTAATACCTTGGCATTTGCTATAAGCTATAACTTGAAAAAATTGATTTCTCATATGCCAGAAACAAGAAAATGTTCTCCTTTTAACATCTCTGAAGTTTCTTTCACTAGAATACCGAGTTAATTGATCCACTTTCTTTTTATTTTGCTCAGGTTTTACCCTTGCTGCTAAGCTAATAGTGTATCAATTAAATTAAAAAAAAAAACAAAACAAAAAAAGTTTGAGAGAAAAATACTGAGGGCAACATAAATAAACAATATGTGTTCAGATGAATTCCTTTTTGATGACACACTAGGTAGCAGACAGCAGAAAATATTTCTAATTGTCCTCGGTCATACTCATTGCCATGATCAGTCACTTACTGTTATACTTCCAACCTCCCTGAAAAAGGGACATTTCCAAAATAAGGTTTAGTACCTTTCCAGATGTTTTGCAGTTAATTAAGCCTTCTTCTTCCAAGTCAAAGGCATTACACAAGGATGAAGGATTAAAACAACAATGCTGAGAATTAACAATACCTAACAAACCCAGTTTTAAAATTACTACTGGGTACAGGATAGGAAAAGAAAAGACGCTTATTGCAATTTCTCTAACTACATGAAATTGTTAAAGAACTTGTCCTGTGTTTAGACAGGCTCCCCCAAAAGATCAATTTTCTAAGCACACAATACTTTATTCACCTTAAAGTAAGAAAGAACATGGACTACTTAAAATCTTTCAGCATTTCAACTATTCAAGTTATTTTAGGGTTAAGTAAAAGCAATTCATCATAAATATTTTAGATTCAAGCATTTTACTTAGATTTTGAAGTGTCATAAACAATATCTCTCAGAAATCAATATTCACACAGTACATCTATGGGGAAAAGAAACAACATATACACAAAGGTGGTTTAAGCTATCAAAGAGATCTCTACCTTTACGCCTAGTGCAGTTTTCTTGGCCTCTGCTTTTAATCTTGTAGCTCTTAACATAGGCCTGGTTTTCTTATAATCTTGTTTTCCTAGAGTAGAGAAGCATATTTAATGAAAATAATGCAAAAAAGAATATAAAGAATGTGAGCATTTATTTCAGTTAAAAAGTCAGATGCAAGATTTTGAAAACATCCTACAGTCCATCGTTTTAAACAGAAGCTTCTCTGTAACACAGGGACTTGATCCATAGAACAATGATCCTTAAAACAGACAATGATAGCAACAAGCAAGAGTCGACAAATCAGCATAGAGCCTATTACTCCAGAGTGGCATCAAAATACATATACGGATAGATACCCACTACTACAATGTTTCTTAAGTTGTTCAGTAAGAATCAAACAGCAAAGAAATAGATTAGGTGGATGATATTTTTCCCTTTGATTTAAATCAAAACAAAAATCTTCATTAGAATTTTCGTTGGTTAGTCATCCCTAATGCACACATAAATGTGCAATACAGGCCATCCTTGTGAATGTAAATGTTTCATTATTCTGAACTGGAACATTATTTGCAGGTATCAGAACTCACAGATATGCAGGTCAGTCTAAGTAAGCGCAGACCATTGCTCGACATCTGCTTGTAGAAACATGTTAAATAGAAACTTCTAGATGTACTTTTTAGAAGTGAGAGAGACTATCTCTTGCAGCCACAGAGTGCAACCAAATGCTTGATTACCATGAGTCCATATGAACTGAGTTCAGAGGAGGTCATGCAAGTATTTAGAAATGGTATAAATCATTTATCTCAACCTAATAATGAAGCATAACACACTTGTTAACTCTCAGGGATATTTCTGCTATCTGAAAGGTCTGTTACTATGTATTATTAACTGTAGCTTCTTTAAGTTAAGAGAAGCCAAGGTACAGATACAGCCAAAAAAAGGAGGAGAAGGAAAAGAGGAATCTGTGAAGAAACTGATCAGAGGGGTAAAGCTTCAGCAGAACCCCTTAGGCTTTTCAAGAGTCCTTTCTGGTTTTCACCTTGTAAAGCATACATGCCTTTCTCTCTTTTTTGCCTATTTCCAAAGCTGAGCTACAATGCTTAAAGCAGAATGTCTTGCCATTTTTAAATCACTAATTTTACCTATCTGTACATTAGCTTTCATTACCATTACAGTTGAATAACCTTTCCTCTAAAATTGTGTCCCATTTGCTCAATGAGATGTGATCTTACATTCATAATCAATAACGTAATCTTCTTATTTCATGGTTATCTTCATAGCTGCGGTTTAAGAGAGCAGTGATGAAACTCTGAAACATGAATTGGAAAGGAAAGGTCTTCTCCAGTGATATACTGGATTCATGAAAACAGGCTTCTGCCTTTGTCTACTCTTCCTATCATTCTGTTCATACTCAACACAGAGATCCTCTCTGTAGGATATTGCAGATGCTGAACTCGCATTACAAATTTGCTTTCATTGGATAATCTCTCCTCAACCCTAGGGATTATATATGGTGAAGGTCTCCATATTATCCTCTGGTCAGGTATTATTCATAAAAGACTTGAAATAACTTAAAAATACTCAATGACAAAAGGAAAAATAACTGAAACCATGTGTATTAGGAAAAAAAAAGGCAGGATATCTCCAAGGAACTTTCTTAGAGGACAGAGTGAAAAAAAGATGACAGAATGATGATTTATGTCTGATGCTCCAACATACTCATCCAGTCAATGCATCTCATTAGCAGGACAGGACCGTTGCAGCATTATTCTTCAGAATATATGTGATATCTGATAATAGGATGCATCAGAAGTACAGTGAATTTTTTTGAATAGTTAGGGAAAGAATTGCAGAAACCACAATAATGGCTAAATCATCAGATGAAGCAAGCCAGAGAGAGAACATGCTTCTTCTCCCTGAAGTCCTGCAGTCATACTTCTGCTATGAAATAGTTAAAGATCTGTCAGAATTTCCATTATAAATGGCAGGAGTTTATAACTCATAAAAATACACTCCAGGCTGAAATTTGGCATAGTTATACCCAAGCCTTGAATTTTTTTGTTTGTTTGTTAATAGCCAACTTTTGTAAGTGGTGCAGCTGTTCTTACTTACTTGTGAACAAACTATAGAAATTTATCAATCTGAAATATTTGAAGCATGAAAAATACATTCATTTAGAAGCATGTAGCTGACAAGGGCTAAGTTCAATTTCAGTTCTCATCATTCAGATTTGCTGCTCTCCCATCTGGGGTAAATGAAGCAGGACAGTCAGAGGTTTCCCTTCCAGTGACGCAATGGCATTAGATAATGAAAATTAGAAAGTTTTGTAAGGTCCATTAGCAATGGAGTCATTGAATGTCAAAGTCAGCCAGTGAAACCCACTTCCCCTTCCTACCATTGCCCATTCTCCCTCCTTTTCTCCAAGGTTCAAGTCTGAAGGTGACAAAAGCAGGGGTAAATATTTGCACAGGACACCCAGTCTGTGAGCTACATCTATTGGCAGGACCACATCTATTCACAGAAAAGGGAACGCTTATTGGTGCTTTGCCCTTAGTTTCAGACACTCTGCTACTGTTTATTCCAGTATCATGGCTACAACTAAGACTGGATTCTACTTACCAGAGAATACTTCCAGATTTATATTAAGTCTGATATGAACAACTAACTCTCCTATATAACAAATAGGCTATTTTAATGACTCTAGAGCTGGTAGTTCTCCAATTCCAAGCACCTGCCATCAATTTACTACTCCCCCTGCTAAATATAATAGCAAAAAAAAAGAAAAAAAAGAGGGCATCAGTGGACTTCTTTGTAATGAAAACCAGATTCAGCAACTGTACAAAAAGACTCTTAAAACATGTGAAATTTCTGAGGCCTTGGGAAAGACATCTACACTACAGGACTATAAAGAACTATGAAATGCAAAGCCCCTGCCACATGAATACTGATCATTACCACCTGGAAAATAAGCAGAAATAGATAATACAGGCTCCCTACAGCCCCCCTTCTTTTGGGTTTGCAAATTCAACCAGTTGGAATACTTATATTCACACTCTCAATGTCTTCTACTTTTATCTCATTTATCCTGCAAGCTTTCTTGTACATTTATCTGTCAGAGTCATCAGCTTAAGCTATTTCTTCTTCCCAGGAAGTGATTGTCAAAGCTAGTTAAGACGGACTCATCAGACAAAGCCTCATTTGTGTGCTTTACCCAACGCCTATCTGAGATACTGAGTTTTCCTGAGGGAACATATGAAGGCAAGAAGAAGCCAAAAGATAGAATTGGAAAATTTCCAGAAAAAAATCTTACTTTTTTTATTACTTAAGCGCAGTTCTTTCCTCTTCTACTTCTCATTGTTGTTATTAATTTGTCATCTCATCTCTTCTTTCAAACTCGAAAGCCAGTTTTCCTTTTTTTGTAACTATCTCAATTTCTTTCTTTCTTTTTTCCCCCAAATGTGCCACTTCTTTCTTTTTCCAAGTCCATCACTTCCTTTCCATTTTTAAGGCCAAAGAAATAGTCCATGACAGGGCAACTTTTCTTACTGACTACAGATATTATCTCTCTGCTCATCCTGCCTCCTGCCAGATATTCTCAAAACCAGATGCAAAGATCATCCACTTTTCCATTCAGTGTTTGAAATACCCTTTGCCCTTTGGAAGGTCTCCAGAGCTTGCCTTGCACCGTTCCATATTTCTTGCACAGTTTTTTCCGCTCCTTTGGTGGCAAAGTGACCTCAGTAGCACTTGAACTGAGTTGTGCCCTGTTTACAGATCCCACTTGGAAAACTTTCCACAGGTAGAAATGAAGACTATTCTACTAGCTGTAGGATTAGAAAAGGGTGAAGATAAGGGTGAAATACAGTGAGTTTTTTAGCTACTAAACACAGCTATATTGTGAAACATGCTAAAGGATGTCTCCTTCACTGTGAATATTAGGGATTCATACAATATGCAACATGCTTGCTTCTCTTCATGTAACTAGGAATAATAATCTAAGGATTGCACAAGACTTTTTTTATTTAACCCTTTAAAAGGAAATTGAGATCCCATATATACCTTCTACTCAATAATTTTATTACAATTAGAGATGACCTGATTTTGTATATTGAGTATTCTTTTTTAAGTAAACCTCCAGTGATGCAATGATAAATGCAAAATTTAAACTAAATAATATGTATGAGCTAAACAAGTTCATTAAGTTCTGGGTTAATTTTTTTTTCAGTCTACAGAAATACTGTGGCACTGCCAGGTAGTATTCATTACACTGTACTTTGCATATATACTGAGCTCCGTGATGGATGTAACTGAGAACACAGCATGTTGAGAACTACATTTAAGAAAACTGACTACATTTAAGATTGTATGTAAAGATGCTGCTGTCTAAGATACAACATGAACAAATCTGTAGAATAACTTCACAAGAAAAAAAATTATATTTCCAACCCTTCTAGATATTTCTAGAAGGGTTTCTTTCATTCTAACAATAGCTCATTACTGGAATTGAATAACAGACTGAAGACTGCCTCTCTGCTTTTCAATTCGTCAGGCTTAAGCTGAAACAGGACTGCATCTTTGGCCTTTGTTGATGCTGCTGTCCAAGCTTATTATCATATGAATATCTAGTTATTGTTTTATAAATGTTCACATTTTGGGAGCTCCCTGCTTTCTTTTCTCTCAACAGACTTCACAATATCCACCTTCATTATCATCATGTGGCAGCATTGCTCTTCGCCTGCATTTGCTACTTTAAAAATTAATGCACTGCTATTTTCTGAATACTGTACTGCATAAGCTGCTTATGAGTACATTATGCTATCAAGCAAGCACATGCAGAAAAGCTTCCTAAACTGTTATTCTTTCAGTGAAAATACAGCTGGTTCTGCTTCAAAGGCACTTCTTTTCACCTGCAAATGGACTTGCTCCTACACTTACTCCTCAATTCATTGTCTTTTATTTGTGTCTGCAAATCTGTAATTGCCTTTAATTAGAAAAAAGTAAATTCAGTGCTTTAATCTTGCAAATACATTCAATCATAATTCTGTCTGGGATGAATACCAAGTTCTATTCACTGACTGATCTTTATAA